AAAAAAAGGTGGTCATGAAGAACCTAGTGGCAGGACAGGAATAAAGATGCAGACCTACTAGAGAATGGACTTGAGGACACAGGGAGGGGGAAGGGTAAGCTGGGACAAAGTGAGAGAGTGGCATTGACATATATACACTAACAATGTAAAACCGATAGCTAGTGGGAAGCAGCCACATAGCAAAGGGGGATCAACTCGGTGCTTTGTGACCACCTAGATAGGTGGGATATGGAGGGTGGGAGGGAGGGAGACGCAAGAGGAAGAGATATGGGGATATATGTGTATGTATAGCTGATTCACTTTGTTTTAAACAGAAACTAACACAGACACACACACACACACACACACACACAAACCAATGACAGAAGCTTATTGCCTCTGTGTGATGGACTGTATGAGTGCTATGGAATGAATGTTTTTGCCCCCTCATTCAGATGCTGAAGTCCTTATCCCCAACGTGATGCTATTTTGAGGTGGGGCCTCGGGGAATTAACTGGGTCATGAAGCTGGAGCCCCCAAGAATGGGATTAATGCCCTCATACGGAGACACAAGAGAAATAATCTGGCTCTGCCACATGAGGAGGATACAGCGAGAAAACAGCTGCATACAAACCAGGAAGAGGACCCTCATCAGAATGTGTCCATGGATTTCTAACCTCTAGAACTGTGAGAAAATAAATTCCTATGTTTTAAGCCAACCAGTCTGTTTTTGTTGCTGCTGAAGCAGCCTGAACTAAGACATTGAGTAAGCATGAGTTAGAACTAAATTTGTGTTATCTTTGTATGGGTTGTTTGATATAACCCAACCTGTCTGATATAATCTCCCCATAAACTTGAACTACGTCTATTCAATTCCAACTCATTGAGCTTTTCATCAAAACAACATGATGACACGGGGAGGGGAAGGGTAAGCTGGGACGAAGTGAGAGAGTGGCATGGACATATATACACTACCAAACGTAAAATCGATAGCTAGTGGGAAGGCACATAGCACAGGGAGGTCAGCTTGGTGCTTTGTGACCACCTAGAGGGGCGGGATAGGGAGGGTGGGAGGGAGGGAGACCCAAGAGGGAAGAGATATGGGGATATGTGTATACATACAGCTGATTCACTTTGTTATAAAGCAGAAACTAACACACCAGTGTAAAGCAATTATACTACAATAAAGATGTTAAAAAAAAAAAAAAGTCGATGAGTAATTTATGTCCTTAGCAAAACAGATTATCCCAAACACTCTCTTGCCAAACAAGAAATCCAAATTGTATCACAATGTGACCCAAATCAGATAAAAATTATGCATAATTGAATGGGATCAAGAAATTCACATCCAGATCAAATATACACTCTTATTTAATAAAAACTCAAAAGTTCAGAGAAAAATAATGTATTATTTTTCATTGTACAAAGGCAATGCTACACCTACTCCTTCAACAGATCTGCCCTTTGAGTTACATTTCAAGAAGTACTGAAGCATTTATGACTAATTATACCATATCTATGTTTTCTATGGTGCATCTGTAGTCACAAGTGCACATTTACTAGGAAGTAATACAGAATGCAGTCTATGCCCGTTAAAATATTAAACAAATTGACTCACACTGAAATAATAACCATCTTACCTTGCCCTAAGAAAAGAAATAATTCAATGGAATATAGGGTCAGGTTTAAGAGTCAAAGACACTGAAAAATGTCTGCACAAAATTCTTATACTAATTTATTCTTCCTCCTCCAACCCTCCTTCACCATACTCTCTTTCACTCTTTCATACACACACACACACACACACACACACACACACACACACACACACAATCATATATAGATATATATGAAAGTCCTTTTAGTGTCAAAATAAAATAAATAAAAAATAAACCAGAATACCAAATTTGCTTAGTTACAAATATAGTTAAAAATCACTTCCCCACCTTACCCAAATGTGACCCTTTTCCTCCCAGACTCTCATGTCTTTCATTACCTTACAATTACCCTAGTAGCTAAGTGATCTCAGAATCCCTCCTGTCCAGTTATCTACACCCTTAGTCTTGCTAGTCTTCCTCACATGCATCCTCCATTCCTTTTCTGATGCCACAGCCCTTGTTTAGGACCTGACTTGTACATGCTCTAACCGTGAGATCACATCTAACTCTATTTTGTATTTCTCATCTCTCTCTCATACACTTCGTCCTCTCTACTCTGCAGAAATGATCTCTGGAACGCTCAACTCTCTTAGTGTTTTATATCCCTGTTTAAAAGTTTTAATTTTATTCATTTTATACAGAAAAGAAAGTTTCTACTACTTTAGCATGGCTTTCACTATTTTCCATGACCATACCCAAGGTAAATTTCTCATTTTATCTCACACTAATCTTTCTTAAGTACATTGCATTTGAACTTCTTTACTTTTCCCTAACATGTTTGAATTTTGTTTTCTCCATGTTTTAGCACTCATATTATTACTTTTGCCTTGAATTTCCCTATCCTTGGGAACTTCCTGGCAGCCCAGTGGTTAGGATTTGGCTCTTTCACTGCCATGGCCCAGGTTCAATCCCTGATCAGGGAACTAAGATCATGCAAGCCTCTCAGCATGGCCAAAAAAGAAAATAAAAGAAAAGAAAAAGAAAAAGAAAACAAGTTCCCTTATCCTCAATCTCTATAAAAAATTCTACTCATGTGCCAAGAACCATCTCGAAATTTGTCCCTTCCATACAATTCTTTGTACTTTCTTTAAAGCACTAATGACTTTTTCATAACAGTTTTACTTATATCTCATATTCCACACTGAACTATAAACTATCTACAATAGAATTAGTTGGGACATACGTAAGAATGCAGTTAATAAACAGAGATTTGAAGTTTTTTTGATACTTAGAACCAGGCTTTTAATGTAATGGGCCCAGTAATGTCTGATGAACCAAACTGAATTTCTGTAGGGATATTCTCATAAAACCCAGGGATGCAATCAAATTTCTAACGGGAGCTAGAATCATAGTATTATATAAGGGGTGCATTGAATAAATTAATGTTCTGTGCATTTTGTCATGAAGATTCAATTAAGGGGATGGAGAAAACAAGGGATAGGTTACTAGAAGCTTCCTGATAGCAGTTACCATTTCTTGACACTGCCATTTCAACTCTAAGAGGTGCCAAATAAGGCAGGAAATCATCACTAATATCCCTTCCCACTGATAACATAGGATGAGGTAGCAAAACTTCCCAAACCTTTTTTCATGCCTTTTGCACTAGGGGCCATGCTGGAGGAATAATTCTGGATTTGGGAGGAGTTGAACATTGGTCATTTGGGGGGGGTATTATCACCAAAGAAGAAGAAGTCTACTAAGACTGCACCTGCTTCTCTGTCTGTGCCATTTAGCCTGGAGCATATTTCCAGACTGAAATGAAGTCCACTATATTTTGGGAATATCCACTCATAGAAGATTCTAGACTCAAAGGATCAGTTGCAAGCTCTCTTCCCAGGTGATTCTGAGTTAACCCTGAGAATCTATACTTTTCTAATTTCCTTCATGATTTCAACTTCAGAGAAGAAATAACAATGTCAGTACTGTATTACCTAAACTATCATGGGATGCTGGAACATTGAAAATCTTACCAAAGTCATTTCTTCCATTTCTACATTTCTGTTCTGGCAAAAATGACTGAATTTTTTATCCAAATACTGTACGAGTAGGTTTCTATGGCATCCTTAGCCTGAGTTAGAAGCCACAGACCTCTGATCTAAAATAATTCAAGTAGTGAAGTAAAACTATGTTACATGCGGTATCAGAGAAATCATAAGTTCTTTAGTTTACACAGAGGCTAGAAGCTAAGTAGATTTGCAGCTATCAAAATGTCGCTCTTAATTCAGTCATACAAAGAAGCATAAAAAGGAAGTAAAAATGGCAAAAGCACTAATTTTTCAGGTCAGATACATTTTTGTATCTGTAATCTGAAAATACATCTAGCCAACATTAAGTCATTGTCAAATTGTTTTTGCTGCATATAACACTCTGGTCATCTTGAACATAATGCAAAACCTTTTCCTTATGAATAATAAATATGTATCAAAACTCTATCAATATATAATTTTTAAGCTTTTCAACAAGAAGTCTAATAGATGTTCAATAAAATATATTAGGAGCTCACCATTTTTTTTAATTACACGACTCTGCTGTTTCATTTGATCATTTGGAACTCCCAAAATTTCTACAATCACTAATGTGTCAGCTTTGTTAGATGATGAATGATAACTGGGAGGCAACTGGATCCCACTGATAAGCTGCACAAAAATAAGGGAATTCAAGAATTTAGCAGAATGTCAAACTGCACCACTGCTTAATTTCAAAATAAAATAGGTTTTCCAAAAATCATGATTGACTAAGTCATTTCCCACCAAAAAACAAACAAACTGAAAGTAGAAAATAGTGCCAATTTTTAATTTTAACTTTTTTATCCTCAAGCATCAATAGATGAACACCAGGAACATGTCTAAATTATTCCATTTTACTAATATGTGATTATAACAGAATCCACATTCTCCAAGATTGATGGTCCAACAAATATTTTTATTTTAAAAGCATTGTTATGATCCCCTTCTACTGTAATTCAGGCTGAGTCACTCCAAAAACATGACCTCTTTTCAAATTCATATTGTATATATACAACAAAAAAATTGTAAACTATAAATACGACTTCTGAAATATAAGAAAAAACACCACATAATTTCCTATGATAGCATTCTCTGACAGTATAATTTATATGTTTGGATAATTTATCATGAAATTTTACCTTACCCATTGCTTTCTATACTATCATAAGTAACCTGAGTTTGACAAAATCAATTATTTCATATATATATTAGGGACTGGATAGCAGAAAAATGCTTAACAAAGTAACTAATAATAGTTTTATTTAGTCTTCTATTAGTCAAGCTAATTGTTGAAGCACAGATTTGTTTTACTTTAAGGAACAAAGTCCGAATTAAAAAAAAAAACAGTATTTGAAGTGTACTAGTTTATAGAGTGTACTAATGTAAAAAATTGAGACATGATTTCAATTTCTGAAGATTATAATAAAGAGGAACAAATAAATAATTGTTGTGAAAAAAGAAAGAAGAAAAGAAGGAAAAGAAAAGAAAAAAGTGCCAGAGTGTAATTTTTTCCTTCCTAGAGCCACAAATTATGGCATCAGCTAGAAACCAGAGTAACTGTGCAAATATTTAACAACGAGTATGGAACGGGCATTGATCAATAAGCATAATTAGATATCAAGGTAACTTGAAAGAACATTGACTGTGAAAAACTAGTACACTGATACCAGAGCCTATCAGCTGAATATAGGCCCTCCAGGTAATAAACCCTTATCAGTATGGAGAAGGTGCATACTGAAATAGAATTTAGAGATTTATTGTTCAAATAATTTGTACACTCTGATTCACAAAGCCCTTCCAGGGGCCGCTGCAGAGGATGGATGTCAAACAGAAAACCCTTAGTGGTCAACCAGATAGTTCTGCTTTCATCTATTGGTCTTATACATGAGATTTTAAACTTAGAAAATGATACCTTAGTTTTTATAAGCTTGAAAATAACTGATTTAATCCAAAGTTCTCTGTTTACAGTTGACAAAGAGTAAACCAGAAACATTATATGGCTTCATCAAGGACATAAGAAAGCTAATGGCAAAACTAGGCCTTTTTATTCCCAAATCATGCTCTCCACAATTTGTGCAAGTCATAATGTAATCACAAAGCTCCCTAGAACAATCAGAACAAGAGGGGAAGACACACATGGCTATGGCAGCAGCTTCCTAGGAAAATCATCAACCCTGCCTCTTTCACACCATGTCACTTACACCCCTACATGAGACCTCTCAGAATACAAACAGGTGGCATTTGTAAACATCTCTGCATACCAGCTATCCTCCATCTTCACTTTCTCAATAAAAGAGCACATATATTCTCTTTAGTATTCTCAACTTGAAAAAGAAATCATTCATTCAATTAACCTACATGTATTGAGCACATACTTTGTGTCAGTTACTGTGGATAAGGGTTGAACAAAACACAGTCCTTATCCTTAAAGGACCTTCAGACAAGTGGGGGGAGAAAGACAAGTATAACAAGTAGATAATTATAATTTACAGTGTGGTAAGTGCCATAATGTATGCACGTATAGGGTGTTAAGGAAAAACAGAAGAAAACTTCAAAAGAAGCACAGGAAAAAGCTTCCAAAAAGAAGTGACACTTAAAGTATTGAAAAATGAGTCAGAATGCAATAGGCAGATGAAGGATGGAAGAGTAGTCCAATCAAAGGAAACAGCATATGCAATACATAGAAGAGTCATTATGGACAAAAAAAGAAGGCTTCCATACAGTTTCGGAATGGGTTGAAAGGCTGGAAGAAGTGAGAGATGAGGCTAGAGTAGGACAAAGCCGGACTAAGAAAACGGTCAGGAGATACAAATAAATATTAAGTAGGAATGATAAGATTAGCACTGCAGCAAAATCTCTCTGGTTGGCTTGTGAAAGATGGACCAGGACAACTGAGACAAGGCTACCTGAAAACCCCTTAGGAAGCCAAAGGAATGGAGGTGATGACAGGTAACAGATTCCTAAAAAAAAGACAGTAACAAATGACATCAGATCAAGGGGATGGATAAGGAAGACATTTAAAGTGAGATCTACAGAACTTAGAAATGGATAGGACATGCGAAGTGAAGGAGATGCGGAAGACAAGAATAGCTCCCACTTTTCTTGCCTGAGTTAATTGAGTCAAGGAATTTGACTCAGTTCACTGAGATTTAAATAAACTAGAAGTAGATTTGACGAGGAAGGGATGTTCAGGCTTTAATATTTTAAGTTTGACAGAATATTGGTAAGGAGGCTAAGTAGGCTATTAAAAATAGGCCTTTATAGTCCAAAAATGAGGTCAGATTTGAGCATTGTTTGGGGTTGAAACAGAGAATGTGTATAATGTGAATGTGTATAAAAGAATACAAGGAGGATGTTTAGTTTGAGATGAGGATTAAGAAATTCTTTCTCACCCACAAATGAAAGTGAGAAAGAATCGCTTGCATATAGATTAAAAAAGAAAGAAGAAATCCACAGAAGCACATCAATGAGATTTGTGTGGATTAGGAAGGGATCTGAAAAAGTGGCTGAAACACCCCCATCTTCTCAATAGAACAACAAGAACAACTAGACTAGTTCCTCTAATTAGAACTATGCAATTTTTTCCATTCATGCAAAAAGGCAACAGAAAGACATTTTTCAGATATGGAAGGATGCTGAAATACCACCCACCTATACATTACCTGAAAAGATTCACAGAAATTTAAAAGGCATTAAAGAAAATCAATAGAACTAAAAATATTAATGCATACTATCTAGCTTATATCATAACCAATAAAGGTAAAAGAAAAAGTAATTAATCTTACCCTTATCATAAGTATGATTGGATTACTGTCCATTAGTGCTTTATTTGGATTAAACTTTGTTTTACTATCTCTTAGGAAGTGTGGTTTCAAAATATATCCAGAACCACCATTATCCAAAAATTTCCCATTTTGAAGATCCATAGGCAGACCAGGGGTCTGGAAATTTAAGGCCACTGTGAGGGAAAAAGAGTATTTTGACATTGTCAGGAAATAGAGGGTATATCTAAAGAAACGCAACTAAACAGTTTACTGAACCCTAATCATGGATTATATGTCTTCGAACATTTTAAGAGCAAGCATTTGCCAAATAAGTCATGATTTTTAAACCTTTCCTTTTGCCATGCCTTTGTTAACATATGAAGGTGAGTTTCAAAATTTAATCTGCAAATTATTTTACAGCTTTGAGTTAAAAAATCAAAATGGCATACAGCATAGATTATAGAGTAGCAATGTACATGTCAGAAAACATTCAAGAAATATGAGAGTAAAGAAAATCAGTCATTAAATGCTGGAAGGGAAGACACCAACTGTATCATAAACTTTCAGGTCTAAAGAGGTACTGTAATCACTTGAGGAGAAAGCGAGGAACAGGCAGAGCAATAATTGTTAAAATATAGAAACAACTCCGTATAGGCTGGTAAATAGCCACTATATGCAGTACCACCATCTACCCACCACTGCCCTCCCCAGCATCCTGATCCCACCCCCTCCCTCTCTGAAAACCTATGGGCCTTGTCACAATTCAGCTGCAGAAGGGTTAACACCTGGCACTTTCTGACTGGTTAGTGCCACTGGTACACCAGGTGATCAATTTGGAATAAGGAGAGTCAGTCAAGGACAAATAACAAAGCTATGCAGTCTTACTTTTCAATACTATGAATGCAGAAGTGATTAAAGTACAAAAAGCAGAGGCCACTTAATTTGAAGAGGCCCTTAGCAAATCTTTCAAGCAAAGGACTCGATCTTCACTGTTCTCTTACATCTCTTTTTGGTTTATTTTTCCCGTTCCTACAATTCCCATGCAAGCTCCTCATGAATTTAACCTCCATGCTTCTACCCTCACCTAGATTTACCCTTTTCAACCTATTTAGGAATAACTTCAACTCTTGAAGCCAATGATTCATCATTGCTTGACTCCAAAACACCCAGGCTCGAAAATTCTTCAAAGGAAGCTCTTCTCATGAATCTTTCATTAATTCACAAAATGGATTTATTTTATCTTATTTTTGCAAAAAACTCAATATCCTATGTAACATACCCATTTGACAACCTACATTCCAAAATTCTTGAGGATTAAAATTAGAAGAGTCTGCTCTTGTTGCCTTGGGATATATTCTGGTAATGAACTTCGTGGTGTGAAGAATAAATTCATTGGCTAAAAAAAAGAAATTTATTAAAACATTGCAAAGATTTCAAATAAACTACTATGTCTTTATATTTATTTAATTCTACAACAGTTTCAATAATGTTGATGTCTATTGTCCTGGCAGAAATATTTACAATTCATGGAAATCAAAATAAATTCATGCCTTTGTCTGGCAGAGTAATTCACTGTTATTGAAAAGTTAATAATTTTTATTAAACAATTTTATGTAATTATTCACTCGAAGAAAAAAACAATTGGATAATATATTTCTTTTTGTTCACATCCAAATTAATTTCACTTTGACGTAGAGTATATAAAATTCCAAAATAAAATGCATCCATTTTTGAAAACAAAAGTATCTTTACCCATTTTGGTTTTTTTTACTTTGGTTTTCACATTAGGAAAGAATTGCACGGAAGTCATATAAAACTATGTGATGTCATCCAAGTTAATCAAGTTGAATATTTAACAGATCCTCAGGGCTGAAAGGGACCTTAAAGTTACTCAACTCAGCTTCCAGCTGACCTTCTAACCACCATAGTACCTTTCCCCAAAATTCATTCAATTTCTCTTTGCATCCCTCCATTGAAAGAGAACTTGCAGGACTTCCCTGGTTGCACAGTGGTTAAGAAACCACCTGCCAATGCAGGGGACACTGGTTCGAGACCTGGTCCAGGAAGATCACACATGCCGTGGAGCAACTAAGCCTGTGTGCCACAACTACTGAGCCTGCATGCCACAACTACTGAAGCCCACACTCCTTCAGCCCATGCTCCTCAGCAAGAGAAACCACCACAATGAGAAGCCCGCACACCACAAAGAAAAGTAGCCCATGCTCACTGCAACTAGAGAAAGCCAGCGTGCAGCAACAAAGTCCCAACGCAGCCAAAAATAAATAAATAAATAAAGTTACTAAAAAATAAAAGGTATTTGTTCTTCAAAAAAAAAAAAGAGAGAGAGAACTTGGTACCTCCCAATACTTTTGATTATTTCAAATGTTTTCCTTACAAGGAAAGGAAGAAAATGTCTATACTTGAAACACACACACACACACACACACACACACACACACACACACACACACAGAGTCTGTTTCAGTTTCTATACATATTCTTTACGTTTCTACTTATATTTTTTTACACATTTCTAGTAATTCTATTTAAATCACTTAAGATTCAAAACTAATTTACACCATTTACCATTGGACACCCCTCAAATTTTTGAACATAGATTTTATGTTTCTCCAAGGTTTTTATTCTTTCACTAAGCAGATCCTTTTCCCACAACTATTTCTGCTAATATGGTGACCAGTCATGGAAGAAATGGTTATTGCCTATGTCCACTCTATTTGCTCTTCAGGCTAGAACAGAATCATTGCCACTCTCATCCTAAAAACTATTCTTTAGGAAGCACTGTCAGGTAAAAAATTACAGCTACTGAAGTTAATAGTAATTACAGTTAATTTAATTAACACTCAATTTTAGAAGTTATCCTCTCCTTGAGGAAAAGTTCACTTTGAAGCTACTCATGTACAAATGCACTTTGTGTGTCCAAGTGTCATGATCCCTTATCCAGTCCTAAACTAGATGTCTATCTGTTGATAAAATATGTACTCTTCTGGGTCTTAATTTTTTTCATCTACAAAGCGATAAACATGAATGATCACTATGGACCCTTAACATGATTTTGTTACTTCTGAGATTTAGAAATTAAACATGCTATTTTTTCACATAGCATGAGAAATGTGAAAATTAAATAAGAAAAAATAAGAAAACAACATATAATCTCACCACTCAACTAATAACCCTGATAACCTCTTGGTATATATATATTTCCATTCTTTTGTCATATGTATATACTTATTTTTAATTGAATCTTATTGTTTATTCCCTTTTATAAACTTCCATTTTTTAACTTACTAAGATAACACGAAAATCATTCCATTTCAATAATATTCACCTATGACATTATTTTTTTATTTTTATTTTTTTTGCGGTACGCGGGCCTCTCACTGTTGTGGCCTCTCCTGGTGCGGAGCACAGGCTCTGGACGCGCAGGCTCAACGGCCACGGCTCACGGGCCCAGCCGCTCCACGGCATGTGGGATCTTCCCGGACCGGGGCACGAACCCGCGTCCCCTGCATCGGCAGGCGGACTCTCAACCACTGCGCCACCAGGGAAGCCCCGACATTATTTTTAAATGACTGAAAAGCATTCACACATATGAAAATTTCTTTCTGATTTTTCCCTATTATAAACTTAATGATGTTTATTATGTTTTTAATGATAGACATCCTTGCAGAACATCTTTGCCCAATCATTAATTATTTACTATTAACTTTTGGCACAAGAAAAATATTCTATACTCTTTCCAAAGAAACGCTGATGCTATATTTTATGACTCTGCTCTGAACTACCCAGTCCCTTTTCAGATTTTGAGCAAGTGTTTAATATGATGAGAGTGAATTATAACGACTTTTGCTGTGCCCAGACATCCTGTCCCCATGAAAAACAACAACAAAAACCATCCGATAGTTTGAAACAATGGAGGCTAGTAAAGTAGGTCATTCATATTCAAACTCTGTTGACAATAGTTCACAGTAAAAAATATGCTTTATATCACAACCCAACACCACACACACACACACACACACACACACACACACACACACACAATTGTTTCACAAAACAATATTTATTCTTCCTGCCTACAATACATCTTCTCCATCCTATTATTTTGTTCTATTCCATTCCATTTTGTTCTATTCCATTCCATTCTACTCTATTCTATTCTTTTAACTGTCATTTAGATCTACTGAATTGACTTTTGGTCACAAGCCTCAATTTAAAAAAAAAAAAAAGCCCTATAATATAGGATCTTTCTAATAGGCAGTTTGAGGAGATAAGCTAAAGCATGCCTCAAAACCCTAGGGTTGGGCTTCCCTGGTGGCGCAGTGGTTGAGAGTCCGTCCACCTGCCGATGCAGGGGACGTGGGTTTGTGCCCCGGTCCAGGAGGATCCCACATGCCGCGGAGCAGCTGGGCCCGTGAGCCATGGCTGCTGGGCCTGCGCGTCCCAAGCCTGTGCTCTGCAACGGGAGAGGCCACAACAGTGAGAGGACAAAAACAAAAAACAAAAACAAAAAAACCCTAGGGTACCGATGGCCAGCCAAATGAGGCTAACCAACAAATATACCAGAATCTGCATTTCCTAATAGCCAACAGCTTTTCTCAAGTCAGCTGCAGGTGCTGATTTCCTGCCATAGCGCTTCTACATAAGACGGTAGATTGCAATTTTAAAAAGGATATGGAGAGTCACCTGATTCTGATTATTAAGTTAATTGACTGTTGAGGCACAGGGTACGCTGCCCCTAAAATGTGCTTCAGTGGCATATTGATTATTTTGAATTAAAGTGACGTAAGAAATGGCCAGTGCAAGAGGGACACTCTATCCCTCCTTTGTGTCTCCTTCAAAGCAGGAAATAAATGTCTCATGTGAAAGATGCACTCCCTGCATCTGAACATAGGACACCCTTCCTACCAAAGACAGGGAATTCAGGGCTGAGAAGACTGTGAAAACAAACTTTGTGATTTCTTTAATTTACTACCCCAAGCCCAAACGCTGTTTGAATTCTTCACTAATTGGTCACCCAAAACCTAAGTTTCTTTGTCCTGTCAATTCCTCACAAATTTATTGTTTCTTTGTCTAAAAAGTATAAAACCTGCCGACTTTGGTCACTTCTTAGGTCCCATTTCTATGAATTAAATTTTCTTTCTTTTTCTCCTGTCAATATGACTTGCGTCAGTTTTATTAGTAGTCCAGCCACAAGAACTCAAGAAGGATAGAGGGAAAAAATTTCCCCTCCCGACAGACCATCCCTTTTTAAGTTGATGATATTCCCTGCCATATAAGTCTGAGAAGGAGTTAGCATCTTCTTCCCATTCGCTTTCCCTGTTGTGTCTCGGGCTCTACCAAGCAGAATAAACCCACCTCAGATGTAGAGTCAGGAGACAGTGAAAAGAAGATGCAGAGACACATGGTCCCTCTGCAGGTACACAGCCATCTGGCAGTCTGGCCTGGGTATCATTTTTTCCCTCTTCTTCACCTTAGAGATACAGCCTCCCAGTCTATTTAGCTCTACCTCTTAGTGCCCACCGAGTCCACAAAGTTCAGCCTGGCTCCAGTCTCCCTGCCATAAGCCTTTATCATCTCCTCCCTGCAGACGGTGTCACCCTTATGCACTGACAGAGGCATCTTTCAGAAACACACAGGGGATCATGTGACTCCTGAGATTTCAATCTTTTCCTACTCACTTTGGATTGTAGGACAAAGTCCAAGTTCCTTGTAATTTGGCTTTGCCTACCTCTGTAGCCTTGTCACTCACTGCTCTCCCATGTAAACTGCTCACCACAGCCCCTCCCAACAGATTGTCCATACTGGACATTCTCAATCAAAATTTCATGACTGAAAATAATGGTTGAGTTCTGTGAAATAAAATTTAATGCGACCTGAGGCATATAACCCTTTTTAAAATATGTTAAATATGTTGAAATTGTACTAGAATATAGTTTATGTAAACATCATTGATCAATTTTGACACCTTAAAAGTGAATACAACTTGTTTAAACACTTCATCTATTTGAATCATAAGAACTTACCTCTCAACTTTGAAAGTTTTCGGGCTTGTGACTCCCCAATAGAGTTACTTTCATTAAATTGTTGATACAGTCTTGAATGGTGAAAACTTCTGAACTTCTCAACTTTAGTATAAATAACAAGATCAGATAGGGCCGTAGCTATTTTTAACTTTGCGGTGAAAAAAAAAAGGCAATAATTTCACATATTTGCACTAACCATTTGAAAATTTTTTTTTTCGATAAAGGAAATACGCTTTCAAATCAATGATTTTAGTCTTTTCATAAGATTATATCCTCAAAAACTATTTGGATTGGGTCAATGTGAATATGTTCTATTATGACAATATTTAATGTCAATTATGAGACAACCTAAACCTAAAATCCCAATTAATGTAATAAGTATTGAGGATGGCAATTATTTCTATTTCCTTTATCCCAAAGGTCTTAGTTTAGTATCATGAATTCTACAAATTCAAGAATTTTAGTCATGAGTAAATATGTTTCCAATGTGATCTAACATTTTGGAATAACTTCTGCTGTATATTTACTCTATTGCTCTTCTATAACCCAGTATCTATACCCTTTTGCACTTCTGTTATAGCCCCTTCCAAAGTGTTCTTTTTTTTTTTTTTGGAAAACACTTCTTGCGCATGCTCAATCCATGTGCTTAAATGTCGGTAACGTGGACTAGGCCTGGCTAACCAGAGCTCTGCATTCCCCACAGTAAGTGGCTCAAGGATGCGCACAGCTTGGATCATAGCCAATGTACAAAAAGAATCTGCTTGGTCAGCTGAGAGATAGATAGGCCTTCCATTGGATTTGAATCTGAAAGCATGTAAAACTGAGGCTTTGCAAAGGCTTGCACCAATATAGGAAAAGTAGGGCCAAAGTTGGAGAAAGAAATTTCTGTGGACTTTGTTTGATACACTTCAACCGAGTCATTCCTGAAATTAGAATCCCTTTTCCTAAACTTTTCATTTCTGTGGACCAATTGAATTAATTCACATTTTACTTAAACCAGCTGAATTAGTTTTGTATCCCTTGCAACCGTGCATACCTTCCTTTGTCATGCTAACTTGTATACTTAAAATACTATATAATATAAACAGTGCTTTTCTTGTCTCTGACAGTATGATCGCCTTCAGAGCAGATGCACTATCTTTTGTACACTGCACAGTGTCTAATACATAAGAAGGCATAATATTTGTTAGCTCTAGAGAAAAAAATAATTACAAACAGCTAATACAGAAAGAGATGACTTCTAAAACTTCTTGTCCACTGCTGGTTTTTTCCAAACAAATTTTAAATAACAGACTGAAGTTATTATAAGTAGGAAAAAGATGTTTCCTCCAAAATGTTTTAAAACTACTCAACAAAACAATAAGACAACTTTTCAATCACCTGTAAGGCTTTCGCAAAGCCTCATCTCACCTTTTTCTTGAAGCGTGGAATTCCTACTGCCCCTTTTGACTCTGCCTCTTTTTCCAAATCATCTTGAAAAGCATCCGATGGTTCTGGTCCTTTGGCCTCATTTTCCTCCTCCTCTTGCTCTGCCTCCTCTTCTTCTTCACATTCCTCTACCTGACCATGCTTATCAGAACCTCTCCTTTCACGGGTTTCCCTTAAAGTTCCTATTTTCTTGTTTCTAACTAATATTTTGAATTTTAATGCCTACAGAAACAATTTGAAAGAAAGGTACAATTACACATGCACAAGGTAAATTAGCACTTGTCATTGTCATCGAAAAGTCTTTCATCATATTTTCAATTTGCCCACAGTAGTAAGATATGTAAAAGCTCCATCTTTTTTCCATATTCCTAAAAACCTAATAGAAACCAGTGATTATAGTATTGACCAAAATTCACCAAAAAATACGCCTGTAATGATTGGGGCTTTCTTTTCTATTTCTTCTACATTCCATAAATTATTACTATGCACAAATTTGAAATACATGAAAATTATATATATATACAATTTTCTATAGATTATTATTAAAATTATATATATATAATTTTATATAAATTATTTATATAATTATATGTATATATATATTTTTCAATGTTACAGAAGTTAGAATGTTATAACTTCTGGTAGTGAATGCTTCAGGTCATCACTCTCTTATCCAACATTAAAAGTATTATATGAGATCAGGTATATAAAAATGTCTATTATAGTATTTGACATCTAGTAAAGACTAAATTTAAGCTAAAGATTTATAAATCTTCACATTTCAACTGTATGGCATATGAGCATCATCAACTTAATATTTCCTGCCCATCAAAACTAGGAGCATGGCAAAATTCACCACCTGGGTCACTCATTCTAAATCCAAAGCCTTCTGGTTCCTTTCTTTCACTTACTTATTTCTGCCCTTTTCAAATATTCATTAATTTAACAAACATACTTATTAAGTGCCTGGTACATTGTATATAATGTTGCTGGGATCTACCCTATGAAGAAAAATTATTTTTTTATTATAATGTTTTTATTTATTTATTTACTTACTTATTTTTGGCTGTGTTGGGTCTTAGTTGTGACACGCGGGATCATTGTTGCAGCACGCGGGACCTATGGTTGTGGTGGGCGGGCTTCTCTCTAGCTGTGGGCTCTGTAGTTGTGGTGCATGGGCTCCAGAGCACGTGGGCTCTGTAGTTTGTGGCACGCGGGCTCTCTAGTGGAGGCGCACAGGCTCAGTAGTTGTAGCATGTGGGCTTAGCTGCCCCGCGGCATGTGGGATCTTACCACTGGACCACCAGGGAAAGTTCTTTTCTTCGAGGAGGTTTGATTGCCCTTCTCTTTGTCATCCTCAGGTACCCACTCAAATTATTCCATCATCTTGGGTCTTCTCTCTTTTACCATGACCCTCGTGTTACTAATACAGAGTTTACCAAAGTGCACTCCGCAACCGCAAGTGTCAAAAGCATCACCCGGCGTACTTGTTAAAAGAAAAGATTTCTGCAATCTACTTCAAAATTAGAGAACCAGAATCTTGAATTGTGGGACAGAATTATGTCTCTTTAACAAGTCTCCAGGCAATTCTTTTGTATACTGAGGGCTAAGCGCAGTATGAGAAAATGACTTTATCTCTAATTTCTCATTACTCATTGTAAACCATCTCCTTACTTTAGTGTGGAAGCAAAAGCTTTAACGGAAATTATATATCTGAATACTAAAAAATAGATTTATAAATAATAAGAGGAGGAATTCTGTTCCTAGAAAACTGAAATTATTATAATTTCCTGAATTAGACATGACTCTTAGATTTAATCTCTGATGATGTGTTTACAGCACTCTGCACAAGTTCTTTTCTGTCATAATTGAACACATTTAGCCTGTGAGCATTCTCATCAGGTGAAAGAGTCACAGTTTGTCCATTTGTTCAGTTTATTTTTCTCTGTCTTAATTCTATCGTGAGTCCTATACTTCTTGTCCTTAGTGTCATAACACTTTCATCTTTAAATTTTCTACTCATCTAAATAAAATAAAGAAAAATATAAAGGGGGATATTCAAATATTACAAATATATACTACATCTACCAAAATGATTACATGTCAAAATTAAACTATTGGTTAGGGGTGTCAAAAAAGAAAAAAGTTCATTTATCACCTGATAAAATTTGGGGTGAGGAGAATGGACCAGCAGAGGAAACTGAAGAGTGGCCAGAGAGGAATGAGGAAAGCCTGAAGAATGTGGTGTTACAGAAGGAAGTGTTTCACAGAAAGGAAGGAGGCATCCATAGCGTTGAATGTTGTCAAGGCAACAAGTCAGAGGAAGGCTGAAATAGGTCCGTTAGAATTTATTGGTAGGGGGTACTTCTATGGTGGTCCAGTGGTAAAGAATCCGCCTTTCAATGCAGGGGACATAGGTTCAATCCCTGGTTGGGAAACTGAGATCCCACATGATGCGGGGCAACTAAGCGCCACAGCTACAGAGCCCACATGACCTGGAGCCTGCACTCCACAACTAGAGAAGCCCATGTGCTCCAGTGAAAGATCCCACAAGCCTCAACAAAGATCCCACGTGCTGCAACTAAGATCCGATGCAGCCAAAAAAAAAGATAAAGAAAATAAATATTAAAAAAAAAAATTACTGGTAGGAAAGTGATGAGCACACTGAAATACTTACTTGGTGCACATGGAAGAGGAAGCCTGATTAGGTAGGTTGTGAGGAGACAAGGAAATGAAAATTTGGGTTGAGAAAGGAAATAATAAAATAAAAAGATAGCTGGAGTAGAAATTGCAATCCTGAGGGTAGGGTGTGGGTGCTTTTTTTAAATACTTGAGTATGCTCAACTGAAGATGGTAAGACGTCTGTAGAGACAGGGACATTAAAAAGAGCAGATTAAAAAAGGGGGAACCTGCCACCCAGATGCTGAGGTATTGGGCATGAATTCTATTTACAGCCTAGATCTTTGCCTCTTTCTTAGCCTTTGGCCTGTAAAACATACCAAATTCCTGTGGTCTAATATTAACTGACTTGAAATTTTGGACACATGGGATATAACGCACAATTAAAATGTGAATTTTTAGGTTATCTCTATATATTCTCTTTATCAAAATGTATTCACCTAAATGCTCATGGGACTATTTCCTAGGAAACACACTGCAAAGATACACCTCTATAAATAATCAAAAGTAAGCATTTGTCATTGATCTCTAGCCCAGTTTCATGGGCCAATACAACAGTAGCATGTTTTTTTCTCTTTTTCTTAACCTGAGCTTCTCAGACAAAGTCTTACCTCTGGTGAAGGTAATTTGTCTGGAAAATCATCAAGAGTATCAGAAAGCAAGGAGTCTCCAAAAGTAGACTGCAAATTGTCTGCCATCACTTCTTGTTGGGAAGGGGAGCAGTGATTTTCTAAAGAGAGCACCACTGGGTAGTCAGATGTCTAAAAAATTAACCATTACTACAGTTATTAATCAAAACTCCTCAATAACTTTAATGCAATTTATAGAAGCACTTAATTTTAAAACATTTCTAATGTTCAGTACCTTCGCAAAATAATGACGTTTTCTTTAAACTGAAAATAGTTTTGAGTCTGACAAAACAGGGAACATTAAATCTGTATAAAAGGAAAATTATTACTATTTGCATTAGAAGTATAGGAAAAAAACTGAAGCACCCAACAGTGGGTACTTGTTTAAATAAATTATGGCATATCCTTTTAAAGGAATGATATAACTCTGTCACAAAAGAGGTAGAGCTATATATACTCTACTGAAAGTTATCTATGATCTAGTCTTATGAAGAAAAACAAGTTGCCAAAGAGCAAGATTCTACATTTTTTTTTAAACTACATATATATGTTTAGATATTTTTAGGAAAAACTTTAACCCTGGTAAGTTTAAAAAAAGGTTAATTTTCTACTTTTTAAATTTTAAATTCTATTATCAAAACTCAGTGCTTTATAATTAAAAACAAAGATAAAGATATTTCCAATTTTTAATAATAAAGAGTATCTAGTAAGTAAAAGTGACTCTACAAAGATATTTTCTGCCCTTAGTCAACATTGTAACTTTTAAATTTTTCACAAAATAGTGAACAGCATTCCTTTGGGGATCTTATTCAAAATTATTTTCTTTATTTTGTTTCCACATATAATTATCAGGACACAAATTTACCAATTTAGAATAACAAGAAAAGGAATTGCAAGGTCTGCTGCATTATTACAGACCTTTGATATACATGTCATATGTTATATATATCACATATAATATTATGCCTTATTAATGTATGAGTATATTCATTTCTTATGGCTGTTGTAACAAATTGCCATAAACTTGGTCACATGAAACAACAGATATTCATCTTTTCACAATTCTGGAGGCCAAGATTTTGAAATCAGTTTCACTGGTTAAAATGAAATCAGTTTCACTGGCTAAAATTTCAGCAGCTCTAGGGAAGATCTGTTCTTTGCCTTTTCCAGCTGCTGGTGGTTGCCAACATTCCTTGGCTTGTGGCCACATCACTCCAATCTCTGCCCCTCATCTTCACATTGCCTCCTCTTCTGTGTGTATTAAATCTCCCTCTACCTCCCACTAATAAGGATACATATGATGGCATTTAGGGCCCACCCAGATAATTCAGGATAATCTCTCATCTCAAGATTCTTAACTTCATCACACCTGCAAAGACCCTTTTTCCAAATAAAGTAACATTTACAAGTTCCAGGAATTAGAACCTAGTATCTTTGGGGTTCAGCCTAAAAAATGACCTTCTCGTAAATACCCATGTACATATATACTGACTCAGTCTAATATTAAGAGAATAGTGTAAAATTCTTTTCCCAAATATAATAAGTGATTTTGAGACTAGGCAAAGTGAAGGCTTAGCAAATGGATTTCTTGATTAGGCCCTGACTTCACTCACTGGGAAGAACTCATTTTTTTTTTGTCTTCTGTGGTCCTTGGCTCCACCCTCTGGGAAGATCCTCTGGTGTTATCCTCCTTGTTCATATCTAAAGCATGTGCTGAGGAGTTGGCTTTCCTTAAAGTCAAGCCACTTTTGCAGCTTACTTCCTGACTAAGGGTTGTTTTAAGGTTCACCTAACAAGTCAGACTTATGTTTGGTATAGTTTTTAGCAATACAACTTCCTCAAAAACTTCAATTTCGTACGTTTGTTTCTAGTAAGTCACATGTGTCAGTAACTATATCCAAAGTTCTTTCCAAGCCACAGTTATCAAGTCTATTTTATTTCATTGTTCTTTCTTCCCCAAATTAATGGTGATTATACTGAGCAAAAAGTTCAACCTTTGATCTAATCTTTGCTGCAAAACTGTGTCACATTATCCAACTGAGAAGTCTCATTGAGTCTGTTGCTCAAAGCCTTTTTTTTATTCCATCACTTACTCTTTGGAGTCTTAGAAGCTGTAGGGGTTTGTCCATCCTTGCAAGGCATTTTGATTTTAAGATTGTCTCTATTTCCTTTTATTCCCTCAGTTACCCACCCTGAATGAAGTGAGAGAGTTTGCTACTCAAATATTTGGGAAGAGTATTTCAGACGAAGGGAATAGCAAGTGCAAACGCTTTGAGATATGTCTGAAAAAGGGTAAGGAGGCCAGAATGGTCACAAGAACAAGGGAGAGGTCAGAGAGTTAATGGAAAACAGGTCATGTAGGGCCTTGGGAGTCAAGGTATGGACCTTAGCTTCTATTTTGAGTGGGATTGAAGGGTTTGAAAAGCGGAATGACATGACTTGACTTACCAAAAAGTCACTCTGGCTGATATATTGAGATGAAACCACAGGGGAGGAGGGAGAGAAGCAGGAACCCTGGATAAGAAGCCATTGTAATAATCCAAGAGAGAGGTGATGGTAGTTGACCAGTACAGTGACAGTGAGAACGGGGAAAGGGATTAAATTCAGTGTATATTTTTAAAGTAGAGTCAAGAGAATTTGCTGAAGAACTTATTGAGGGGTTAGAGAGAAAAGAAGGGACTGTTAACGTTGACAACAATGATTTAGGCCAAACACATAAAAGTTAACATTAACTGAGATGGGAAAGACCACGGGAAAAGTGGGACTAGGAAAAAGAGGAATATTATCTGGAGCTCAAGTCTAAACATGTTAAGTTAATTATACCTATTAAATATGCAAGTGGAAATGTCAAACCGGGAGTTGTCTATATTGGTGTAAAATCCAAGGGAGAAGTTTGGATAGAGATATAAATTTAGAAATCATCAGAAATTAGTTGTTTAAGAGAATTAATGCCACATATCAAGGTTTTATACTAAGATAAATTTTTAAATATTTTATATTTATTTTGTGAATATTTAGTGTTTTATACTCTATTTCTAATAAATAATGGAGCAATTGATTTAACTGTGTGATTTTAAGTTATGCTTATGTTTACAGATAATACATTGATTTATCTAGGAATACTTTAGGCTTTTCGAATTTGTAAGTTTAATTATTAGATATACATTAAGTACTCAGTAAGATTTTGTTAATTAAATCTCTTCAATTGCACTATGGTTGAAGTAGTTAAGAAAGAAATCACAGATACTAAGTTTAAAAAAACAATTTAAAATGTCTGAAGGTACTGAATTAGCCAAGCTTGTCAATGGAATCAAGTATTATTCAGAACTCAATGACTGTTAAAACCAGCTCAATTTATAGAGGAGGATTTTTAAGCTGAATTAAGAAGCTCTAGAAAGAATTAAATCTTTGAATCTGTAACTTAATACATTTAACAATAATTTTGAAATCCAAAGTAAACTTCTGTATAAATAGCTGACATCATAGTAGAAAAAATGCCAAAAGTTGAGATAATACATTTTTGACATTTGTGTCTTGAAAGTAAAATATTCGAACGTTGGTAAAATATTTACTATTACAAAGGCCAGTATTTCTCAAACTGTTCTGGCCATTAACTCATGGTAAGAAATATAATTTATATTATGACACAATACACATGTGTTATACACATACACACACACATAATATATATTATATAATTAAACAAAAAGTTCCATGAAAATCAAGGGGGGAAAGTATGGGGGGGTGGGTGGGATGAACTGGGAGATCGGGATTGACATATATACACTAATATGCATAAAATAGATAATAAGAACCTGCTGTATACAAAATTTTTTAAATTTTTTAAAAAGTTCCATGAAACCACATGTACCTTACTACCTGAGATTAACTTTGATAAATCTCCCTTTAATGATATACTACATGGATTTCACTGCCGACTAATGGATCATAACCCACAACTGGAAATATTACTGATCTAAACTAAGGTCAAGCATTATAGGATTCTGAAATAAGTAAATTATCTTATGTTTACATAACTGTAATTTAACAAAGATATGCACGTACTATGAATGCGTATTTGTGTATCGCTCGGATAACAGTTTTAAACAGAAGCTTGCTGGTGAATGTATAACCATGGTATACAACAGGTTCATTTTGTGATCCATCCCAGCAGTCAATTTCCAGACAACGGCATCCTTTCACAAGGGCACTAGTAAAATTTAAACAAAATAAATGGTCATTCCTAGATTATGGGTTATACCTTTAACAAAATACTACATGAATTTCATTCCATACTAATAGATCAAAACCCTCTATAGTTTTGTGGGAAAAAAATTTTTCATGGAGGACAACCTAAATAATACTGACTCTTGCTACATCTCTAGACAGGTTTAATTTTATCCTTAGATCAAACCAACCTTTACCAAGCTGCTTATTTTAACTACACGGTTTGATTCCCGGCAAAAATGTTTTGAGTGGATTGCACTGTGTCATGCCAACCCTTTTACTCAGAAGCATGTAAAAGAAAGTTGTCTCTCCCCCAGTGGTGGTGTGGAGGGCACTTTTCACTGTCTCACACTGAGTGAAATGAATGAATAATGACGTGGGAACGAATAATGAAAATTTGTCTCTCACTCAGGAAAGAAACTCTCCACTTAAATAAGTTTAAGGGGCTTTTTGTGGATTAAAATATTTAATGCAGTTAATATTAGTTTTCCTCTTTTAAAGAGGAGGAAACTGAGACACAAAAAAGTTATATCTATCATATAATTAACAAATGAGAGAAAGGGAGGAAAGATTAGCACCAGAAACTTAAACATTGCATTACACCACCTCTCATAAGTAGAGAAATTTTGAAAGACTTGCATTTTGAGTGTATCTTCCACAGGTGTGTAAGGAAATAGAGGAAGAAATACAATTAGACTTAACTTTTCACATGGGTGGAACACTTTCTTGGAATTCAAAAGTAATTTTCTGTATTTCTAAGTCAACCTGTTTAAAATGTGTAGTTTCTCTCTTTAAAAAATTAATATAATGAGGTATGAATAGAAATTCTGTAATAAAAGTAGAGCTATGAATGGAGCAATCTTTACAGGATTCTAAATAGATATATTTCTGAGTTTGTGGATTTATGTATTTACCTAGATTTTAAACTGGAAAAGCAATATTAATTTCTAAGTTTGATGTTATCATGGGATTATAAGATATCTTTTCTATGATTTTTCCTAAGTAATATCACCCAATCACATAGCTTTGAATATCACCTATATACCAATGGCTTCCAATCCTATTTTTCCAGTCTGGATACTTCTTCTAAATCCCAGACACATACACTCAACTGACTATCTGACCTAGCCCTTTGATAACTAATTGATATCTCAAACTGAACATGGCCATCACAGAACTTTTGCTTTTGCCTCACAACCTACAATGGCCTCCTCTCTCAGGCTTTACCATCTCTGTCCATAATGTCATCATATCCTACGTTATCAGGTCCAAAATCCTGATACTTTCTTTCCCTCATACCTCTCTTCAAATCACCTGGTAAATCACCTTGTTGGCTCTGCCTCCTTAAAATATTTCAAATTCAGCCCTCTATCTCAACTGCTGCCTCATGAATTCACCATCTAAATGATCATCATCACCTAGACTGCTACAATGTCTTCCCAAAGCATCTTCTACCTCCACTCTTGCACCATCAGTCTTTCCTCCACAGTAAAAAGTAAATCAAATTATGATATTATCCCAAGGAAATCCCTTCCAATGGCTTCCCAATGCAACTAGAATAAATCCATTTTCCCTTCCATGTTCTCTAAGACCCTCATAAATGCATCCTGTCTACCTCCTCAAACTCACCTCCCTTCATTCTCCATTTATTTGTTTCCACCCACACTTGCTGTCTTTCTCTCATGTGAACATGCCAAGCACTGATTATTTCTTCTACTTAGCATGCCCTTCCACTAGACCTGAAACTTCCTCTTTCTCATCACTCAGGCCACAACTATATCCTCTTGAGAAGCCTTTTCTGACCCTCCAATTAAAGTAACACCCTTCACCCCACAATTACCTTAGTTCATCTTCTCCATATGAAGATGGAGAAATGAACTTCTCCATTTCAGTCCCTGGAAATATCGATTTGTTTATCTGCTTATTAGCTGCCTATTGTCATGAACAAATGAGTGTAGCAACTTTGAAAATGTTGCTCACCACTGTATCTTCAGCTGACTGACTAAACTGAAGCTGAAACTAAACTGGTATTAACAGTATGATACATTGTAGAACACAAAATTAATGGTGCAGCGTAGACTGCCTTTAATCTATGTAAATCGTCTGACATATAAGTATATATATCATCTATAAATGCCACATTATATAATTTATGTGCTGGTTTTCCTTATAGCACTGATATATCTGAGAATTAATTTTAACCACATTATTTTAGAAACCCCGGATGTTCTGATTAGCTAAATAAGATTTTAAAAGTCTTCTTCACATATTTTCCTATACAAAGTATCCAAATTGCTCAGGAAACTTCCGAGGGCCAACAACTGGGGAGAGGAGGTTGGCAGACAGGATTAGAAGGGAACTGTATGATAATAATATATTGAATAAATTATACAACCACCCAAAGACTGGATATCCAAGATATGCACGAATCAAAATTCCTCTTCCCTATGTGTTTTTATAACATGCATAGCCTTCTTTGACTGTGAATTATTACCTACTGAGGTAGACACCACCAGGAACTTTCAAACGTCTTTAAAATGTAATGGATTTAATACAGAGTGAAGTAAGTCAGAAAGAGAAAGACAAATACCGTATGCTAACACATATATATGGAATTTAAGAGAAAAAAAATGTCATGAAGAACCTAGGGGTAAGACAGAAATAAAGACACAGACCTACTAGAGAATGGACTTGAGGATATGGGGAGGGGGAAGGGTAAGCTGTGACAAAGCGAGAGAGAGGCATGGACATATATACACTACCAAACGTAAGGTAGATAACTAGTGGGAAGCAGCCGCATAGCACAGGGAGATCAGGTGGGTGCTCTGTGACCGCCTGGAGGGGTGGGATAGGGAGGGTGGGAGGGAGACAGACACAAGAGGGAAGAGATATGGGAACATATGTATGTGTATAACTAATTCACTTTGTTATAAAGCAGAAACTAACACACCATTGTAAAGCAATTATACTCCAATAAAGATGTAAAAAAAAATGTAATGGATTTAAAAATCGAAATACCTTACATATCCCCAAAGGTCACTTGGTCCCACTAATTGGTCAGATATCAAGTACGTATTATGTGAACTTGAAATAAAATAATCACTCAGTGGATGAGTCATATCTTGATAAACACTTTCATACTTATTATTAAATAGTAGACATTCAGACGAATCCATGTATCTTGTAAAACCTTCAAATGACATCTGGTGTGCTTGTTTAACTATGAAAATAAATAAAAAGAATGCAGAAATATCATTAGTAGTATATAAATTACATCTCACTTTAAAACTTAGTAGCAGAGTGTTTCTAGAATATTCATTTAGAATTAATATTAATACTATTTTTAATGTTTCTTTGGAAGCAAATTTTTCTAAGGTTCTTATATTTAGTTCTTTTATATCAACATTCAAGTAGATTATATCTTATTTAATCATCTGATTTTTAATATTTTAAAAATACATACAAGAAAAGTACATATGTCATAGATCCATTCATTTCCACAAGCTAAACATCTATGTAACCAACACCAAGGTGAAAGAACAGAACAGAGCAGCACCCCAGAAGACCGCCTCCAGCTAACTTTCTAGTCTTCCTCCACCCCCAAGTGTATTCAACGGTCTGGCTTCTAGCAGCATAGATTCCATTTTCCCTGGTTTTTGTGTTTTATATAAATGGACTCACACAATATGGCTTTTTTTGTGACCGGTTTATTTTGCTTGACATTGTTTATAAGATTTATTCTTGTTGTTGCACACAGTTAGACATTTTTTATTCCCATTTTTTTATAGCTTTCTATTGTGTGAGTACACCACAATTTGTTTATCAATTCTATTCTTGATGGGCATTTAGATTATTTCCAGTTTGGGGTTTTTATAAAAAGTTCTGCTATAAACAACCAGGACATGTCTTTTGGTGCAAATATGTACATGTTTCTGTTGGGTGCATGCCTATAAATGCAATTGCTGAGTCATTTGCATATTACCATCTTTAGCAAATGATCTCTGAACTTTTATACTCAGTATCATATAAACCAAAATTATCTATTTAAGCAGAACACTGGCTCTGGAACGAGACAGTTAAATCCATTTATTTGTTATATGAGGAGCCTGTTAATTAACTTCTCCCTGTCTTTGGAATGGTGGTACCGTAAGTCCCCTACATACAAATCTTCAAGGTGCGACTTTCAAAGATGCGAACTTGCATTTGCATGTCCAATCACGTACTTTAGTTCACGTGTCTGGCGTACATTGTCACATGCATGCATCCTCTACAAGTGGTTGCGCTTCTGTATACTTTACTGTACAGTACTGTATAAAGTAGTACAGTATCTTTACTTCAAGCCCAGGATGTCCAGAAGCAAGCGTAAAAGCAGCAGTGATGTAGCTGGTACTACTGTACTTTTTGAGGCACTGTACTGTAAGATTAAAAATGTTCTCTTTATTTTTTGTGTTTGTTTTTTATGTATTATTTGTGTGAAAAGTATTATAAACCTATTACAGTACAGTACTATATAGCCGATTGTGTTAGTTGGGTACCTAGGCTAACTTTGTTGGACTTACGAACAAATTGGACTTACAAATTCGCTCTCGGAACAGAACTCGTTCGTATGTAGGGGACTTACTGTAATCATAGCACCCATCCCTGCATACTAACTTTATATATTAGCTCCATAAAGGTTAGTTACTGTTGCTTTTGTTGTTGATTACTCAGTTTGCCTCAAATTAAAAGTTGGTGTGAGTATTCACTTTAGAATAGAGAGTGGTGATCCTTGGCAAAGAATTTTATTTCTGGGAATTTATACTACAGAAATAGAGCCTCAGACAAAGATGGATGTGCAAGAATGCTCACACTAGCATTATTTATAAAAGCAAAATAAATGGGGGGAGGAAACAAATTAAATCTCAAGCTATGATACAATACTAAGCAGCCATTACAAATAATGTATCAGAAAAAAATATATAGTGACATAAGTAAATGTTTATGACATCATAAAAATGAAAAAGCCAGCATTCAAAATGCTCTTACAATTTTGGCTTAAAAAATGAAAGCTAGAAGAAAATACATAAAATGTTTACAGTCATGTAAACTACTTCAAAGTTATGCAAATTTAGAAACGTGAGTGCATGGGGCAAAGGCATCATATATTGTAATAGTAATGATTTGCATGAATTTATTCTTTTTCCCAGTGCAATTAGCAGTGATTGGCCTATAGCCCTTTTGGACTATTATCTAATTAAGTAACTATCTTTGGTAATGGAATAGAAAACAAACTCCTCTTATGCTTTAAAAACTACCAGACTGAGAGTTAATCTCATGGATTTTTATTTTTAAAATAAAATGAGGTTTTCCTTATTTGGTATTGACATATGTCAAGTATCAATGTGGGATGAGGCTGAGAAAGTTGGCAGCATGTGGGACTGTAAGATCATAATTCAAATTGACCTTAATAAGTCTCTAAAGTGATCAATAGCCATGTAAATGAAATGCAAGGTCTTGGCTGTGTGAAACTATCTGAATGGAAGCAGAGTAAGGCCCAAAAGATGAAATAGATGAAAAGTGTAATATTATGGTTAAAATACAAACACAATTCCAAGATGTCACTGGCACCATCCCATTATCCCTTTGTATCTTTTAATTTACCACCTGCAGGTAACAGTGGAAATTTTTTTTTTTTTTTAATATTGACTGGAATAATGCTACTAAAAGTGCTTGTCTGTGAACTGGTTGTTTCCAGGTGGCAATGACATAAAGAGCTTGAACCAGAGCCTAAATCAATTCACTACTTTCTTAGAGAAAGTCTTTGCTATTGAAAGGAAAGAAGTCAGCTGGACTCATCAGATGTGCTTAGAGATGTACTTTTTTTACGTTCTGATGCAAGCTCTTTATCTTGTTGCAAACCTGCAAAGTTTTAATGGTGATCAGACGAAACTCTTACTAGCACTATCTTCAGTCTTACCACCATGATACTTAAAAGCCTCCAAGGTCTTTACGTGACACTGAGTCATGAGCCAAAATCTTAATTATGGCCAACAAGACCCGACATGACTTAATCCCTGTCCAAACGCTTTTTGCCCTCATTCTCCAGGTTCCAACCACACCGTCCTCCTCTTGTTCCTCGATTCTCCAACTCAGGGCCAACACTTATCTTCCCTCATTTTGTCACATGTCTAGTTCTTTCTTACCACTTAAGTCTCAGCTCAAATATCGCATCCCCATCGAGGACTCTTCTAAACAACCAACCTATGGGGACATACGTATATGTATAACTGATTCACTTTGTTAAACATAAAGCAGAAACTGACACACCATTGTAAAGCAATTATGCACTAATAAAGATGTTTAAAAAATAAAAATTAAATAAATAAAAAACAACCAACTTGAGCTAGACCTCGTGCTTGTCTACTTTCTATTTTATTTTTTTCACAGTATGTAGCACTCCCTGAAATTATCCATTTGTATGTTTAATTATTTATTGTCAATCTCCCTCCAACCCCTATCAGGAATATGAAACCTAGTTTGCCTTGTTCTCCACTGTATCCCCAGCTACTAGAACCATACTCGGTGGCCACAGATAAATATTTGAATAAATTATGAATGTACGAGCCCATGAAGGAATAAGTCTTGTTTTGTTAGGACCCATATTATCATATGTTAAGCATTGGTGGCCATAAACCAGTTTTCAAAGGCAGAACTTGGGCTTTCATATATCCCTTGTTAATAAATATTTTGAGCTATTCTATTAATTTCTGTAGGGTTAAACAGCATGCTTTAATAGTGTTTTTGTGCATATTTTATTACATTATTATTTTATTTAAAAATAAACATAAATGGAAAAAATTGAAATATTTTAGCCAATGAAAGAGGAGACACAGATCAAAAACTATATGACAAAAAAAAAAACAAAAACAAAAAAAACTATACAACAGCTCACTAGCCAAAATGGTCATTGAACTTAAACCAGATGACTGCATTCAGAAAATGAAAGAAAAGAAAAAATGTTTTAATGTTTATGAAATGTTGTAGACAATTATGTGTATAAACAACAGGGAAATTAGTGATTTTATAATGTTTTATTCTTTCCTAGAATTGTTTTCATTTAGCTAATTTAATATTCATATATTTTTTCAATAAGATAGTGTATAAAAATGGAAAAGTGCCTAAACCTGGGTTTTTATCTTATTAATGAATATCAAGACCCTTTCTTCCATTACAGTACTTGTAATAGAATCCTCATTTTGCTTTCCCTGCATAAGCTAATCTCTGAACACTTGAGAGATATACAGAAGCAGCTAAAAGAAAGGAACGGGACAATGAAAGAATGCCGCTGTTACACAACATAGCTTCCTAAAAGATACATCTGCTGTCTGTAAAATATGAAATTAAAACAGCCAACATATAATATTAGCCATAAGAAATCTGACCTAATCAAAAATTTGAATTTAATAAGTGTAATTCTTAAAACATAGTTTGCATATAAATATTTGATAAAACTTTGAAATACAAGCATACCTTCTTCAATAGGCTCATATTTTTGAATGATCTCAGAAGCAATACTTTTATTAATGTCAAGTGTATACTGCTCTTGTATCAAAAATTGGGCCAGATTCTTTTCAAAAAGAAATTTCCGGTTTTCAGAATACGTGTTGAAAATCTCAATAATTTCTTCTCTGTGTGCAATAATTCGATAAATTGTTCTAAATTCTTCTATGGTGATTCTTCCTTGCTTCAGCCTGTCATTATCCTACTAAAGAAAAATGACTGGTGGGCTCACATTGAGAATATAAAAAATACACAAAATGAAGACGTTAGAGTATTTGTGTAACATATATACCAACTTATACTGGAAGGAAGTTACATTGGATTCTTATTTCAGATAAAATACATAAAACTGCATGAAATGGTGCCAAAGTTGGGGAAAGGTTAGTGGATCATCACCACTTAAAACCCAGTGGCCAGAGTTGCCCAGTTTAAGCGAAGAAGTGTATCCTGCCCCTGGGGAGAGTTAGAGCCTTTATGCAGTTCTTTACCCGGAAAGACTTGCCCCAATTCAGGCGAAGCTGCTAGAGATTCTTCCAGACTTAGGACATCCCAGAACCATTTGGATTTACCTCAGACCTTCTCCTCACTGTGGTGATGACATATGCCATCCCATAGAGCTCACTATAGTCTGCTGTTTTGTCCTGCCTAGTTGGTTTCCTCTATCAAAAGCTTTGTTTTGGCCACTTGGAAACTGAAATCTAGGACATGGGTCCATCATGAAGGGAAAACAGACCTGTGGTTTCTGCTCAGTCTGAATGGGAAAGGAAAGGTGATCCAGCAGGGGTGCAGGATTGCAGAGGGAAATGTTGACTCTGAGAGGTCATGGAACTTTCAGGGACATGTGTCCTATAGAGTCAGAAATATGAATCTAAATATCTGGAGGGGGATACAGGCTTGAGATGAACATGTTGGAGTTATTCCTGGGTGGATGTCTGCAAATAAATGATCAGAAATAAGAAGACCCTCCGTGTAAAAAACAAAGCAAAACAAAACAAAAACAACCCGATAGCCATAGTTGGAATGGAAAGAAGTATGGAAGAGAAGAAGATGAGGATTCTAGGTTATCTTTCAATTACACATTTCATTTTTCTATTCTACTCTGAGTAGCTTCTTAAAACCATCCAAACAGTATGTAACCCCATGTCATCAATAGGCATCCTGCACCATAAATGTCAGAATAAATCAGTCATTCAAGATCTCTGTAAATACAGAAGCTGCAATAGGTGGTAATACTTTGAGGAAGTGGAATCTGCATAATCACTGAAGGAACTGGGAGAGGGACAAACAAGGTCAGTTTCGATGAGAAAGAGTAGCTTCACCTGGTTGTTCTGGAAAATTCACATTTGAACTTTATGAGATAAGAGACAGGAAAGTGGGCTGGGTCCATTTATTTAAAGTAACAGAATCACTGTGAGGTTCTGAGTAGGAAAATGACTAGCATAGGAGAGGTTTAGTTGTGATTAGTTGTGCATTACAGGTGGGAAGAGAAGGCGAACTGCAGGTAAGGGAAGAGAGAAGATGCCATCCAGGTGGGAGGTGGTGAGTAGAAACTAAAGAACAGGTGTCAGTAAAATTATGAAGAAAGAAGTCAGAAGGATTCAACACATTAACATTTTAGATGCATAAGGGAGAGAAGTCAAGAAAGTCTGGAGTTGGGGAGAGTTAGAATAACTAGTAGAATTAGAGTATCACTTACAAATAAAAAACTGAGGTATAGGAAGTGCACCTTAGAAGGACATTTAATTTCCAAATTTATATTTTAATTTTCTCAATAAATTTCTCAATAAATAAAGCTTAAGCAAAGTACTAAAGTTTAAGTACAAAAAGCTCGAGTTAAAGGGCCACTGTATTGTGGTGAAAAGCTGACAATCTGTAGACAGTCGGAGCTGACATTATATTCCTAGCTCCAAAGTTTGTGGGATTTTGAACATCTAAGTTAAACTATGAGCCTCATACTCTTCATCTGCAAAATGGGGATAGATAGCACTACTTATGTCAACAGGTTGCTATGAGGATGGAGATACCAGTGTATTGTTAGGTCTTATCTATGTCTGTTTCCTTCGCACCCTCCAGGCTAGTGTCTCATCTTTTGACAAATTTAACTATAAAACAACCCTAAGGTACAACAGAGGATAAACATGCTGGAAATGATCTCTTCACTTTTTTAGGAAAAGTTCACTTGTGGTTACCAGAGAGTTTGATCTGAGGAATCCAAGAAAGAGTCTGAGCTGGGAATCAAGTAGGAAGAGCACCAGCTTAGTTCAAGGAGGAGCATTAATTTACACGTACAGAGCAGCTTGAAGAAGCAGGGGCTGGAATGGAGCCCCACTGGGAATGAAATAGTGATAAGCTTGGGAAGAAGGTTGGAATCGGTGGTCGTCAAATGAGAAGTTGGGTCTCCAGAGCCCATTAAACAATAATAGCACCTTAAAATTACATAATCTTAAAAATAATTCATATTATCAATAATCTCAGTAGACTATGAAGTTCAACTTACTGTTTTGAAATTCTGGATTTTGAGGTCCACATAAGTTAATGTTACAGAATTAATTTTTTTTTAATTTAGCTCCATTTTGCTCATAATTTGTCATAAGATCTTAAGCAAGTCAATAAAAATCAAAGTGTGCCTGTAATTCCCGAAACATTTTGTCATGTAAAATTGTATGAATTAAAACTTTTGTCTTACTGAATAGCAGCATACAATAAGATATACTTTATCCACTAAGCAATGAAAATTTTGCTTCTTTCAAGCAGGATATAAACTTGACCATCTGAAATGTCCTCTGGTAACTCGTTCTGTTTTGTTTGTCCCTAATGATTGAAGTTGTTATCTGATACTAGAAAGAATTAGAGATATAAAGTTGAAACAAAATTCCACAAATCCGAATAATTGCTACAATTGATCAAACCCAAAGGAAATGAAGGGTCAAAAATTAATCAAATTACCAAAAAAGAAAAACCACACACAAGAGGTGAGAATCGTATTGCTGAAAATGGGAAGTTCTAATTTTGATAGAAAGAGAAAAGGAAAAGGAAAGCAACAAAGGGTAAGTAATAAGGAGAAGAAAGATGACAGAGCGTCAGCAGAAGGGAAGAAAGAAGAAAACTGATAAGCAGGGAAGGTTCAAATCTGAGTACTGAGGCACATAACAGCAGCCACAACTTGTAGGGTACCAATGTATTAATATCTCCCCTGTAGGAGGGAACTGAAGGTCAAAAATCTTACGTAAATTGTCCCCAGTCTCACAGGCACGGTAGACCAGGACTTGAACTAACTCCAAAACAATAAGGACAAGCAATGGGAGGAAACAGAAAACAATACACCATTGCACGTATTGAGAGTATATGTGCAGAAATAAATTGTGTCAAATACAAGTCTGATCTCTTTAACTCTCATAAATTTCTCAGCGTTTCTCCTTTGTCTTCAGGACAAAATCCAAACTATTGTGTAGAATCCAAGACCCTTCAAGACATCACTGATGGTTTCTTCCCTCACCTTCTCCCTTGCACTTCACACTGCCTGTGCTCTGAATTAGCTGCAGTATAAACATCAAGCTGTCTCTTGCTATTGTAAAGGCTGTTTTTACTGCCTGGAATGCCCTTCTTGTATTGTACTTCTTAACTTACGAATTTCTACTAATCCTTCAAAAAGTGTCCTTCTCTAGAAGTCATCCCTTATGTCCCTCTGTGTCTCTTCCTCAGCCCATGTTAGAGAGTCCTACTCAGGATTCTTATACGATTCTGTACCTTCTTCTCTCCTAGGGTTTATTACACTGGAATTAAAGCCTTTTTTTCTACTTCTCTTCTAGAATTGCCGAATTGTCTCAGACAGGAAGTCTGTCATCTGTTTCTTGTATCCTAAGTACTTATAAGAGTGCCTGACTGAGGTCTTCAGAACTTGGTCCAGCACCTAAACAATTTTATGATTCTGGTGAAATATGTTCATTTAATTGGATAAAGGAGCTAAAAATCTCCCTAAAGCTAGGGAGTGTAGGAAAACTATTTCTAAAAACATATTACAGAAAATATGCAAAATCTCAGGCCCCACTGCAGGGAATACTATAGCTTTTTAAAATGTTACATATTAATCATTTACAGTTTACAACATAAAATAAGAGTAATGAAGCCATCTTTCTCCTGTTTACAAAAAAAAAAACAAAAAACACGGAGCTCATTAAGTGGTTATTCTTTACAAGCATTACAAAAAGAACTTTCCCAAACAACTCTTTCATTATTTATGTATAATTTTAAAATATATCTTTTACCTTAAGACTATGAACCCCCTGAAGGTAGATATTTTATACTCATTTTTATTCCCAGTACCTGGTACTGGACCTACCCTAAAGTAGGAGGCTAGTGATTATATGTTTAAATGAATGACTGAATACAGGAGGATAAAAGAACATATTAAAATAATTCTATTGTTAGTCATTCTGATAGTACACTTTCGAAAACAGAATTAAGCCTTTTCATTTTGTTACCATTCTCCATTGCTCAGTTTGTTAGTAAAAAGATGAAATGTTGCTTTAAAAATGACATCATGAGAAAGCAATCTATCAAAACAAGAAACTTTAAAATAAAATGTAATATTTAAAATTATCTCTGAAATTACACTAAAAACAAAGTATTCAGAATATATTCTAGGAAATCATATGACTTGCAACTTTCTTCCCAAACTCTGACATACTTGTTTAAACTACCTGGCAAACTTGGTTTTTTCTCTTTTTTCATTGTTTCCTTCTGCTTCTATTGCACAGATACAGCAGCCAGAGGCACCCAAGTCCCAGTCTTTCCTGAAGAAGGCCTATTTGCATACCTTGGAGACTGTCGCCTAAGGCCAGGAGCTTGTGCACACAAGCTGTTTCCCAGAGGACACGCCCCTTGATAGCCTGGCTCTGGCCGCCAGTGGGGCTTGTGTTCACGGGGTAGGCAGAACCCTGCCAAACAAAGAGAAAGTCCTTGGCTGGCAGTCCCTCTGGGGCTCCGCTCAGAGGGGATGGACTGATGCCCCCATCTTCCAGTCTTTCCCTGAAAGATGTCTATTTGCACACCTTACAAGCTGCTGCCTGAGGGTCCAGCTTCCAATCAGCCTGCATCTAGATGCTGCCTGATCCTCCATTATAAGACACTGCCAGATCCTGGTACACCCTCAATGACTGGGAGCCATTAAGAATGAAGTAGGTTGCTTGGACTATCACAGAG